TTAGCAATAAGATCAAGGATATTGAGTGTGGTAAGAAAATATTTATCCCTGGTCTTGGGGAGTTAGACCTAATCAGTGGGAACAAACAAAGAGAAGGGGGTAAGAAAGGAACCAGAGAAGGAATAGGATAAGGGCTCAAAGAACAAGAGGCAGAGTTAGTTCAGATTTTGTCCCTGATCTTACAGGGGAAGGGTTTTTTACCAATGGGCAAGATGAAGAAGAGTCTTTAATTAGAAATGCAGATTTTTGGGAGTCTTTTTCTGTTATCTGTAATATGTAGCAACATCTGTAGCGCAGAATAAATTAGCCTGCCAGGATGGCATCAGCAGGATATGTGGCTAACTTGAGCCAGTGCTACTGGGGTAGATTTCTTTTGTTTAACCTTAGCCAGATCCCTTCTGCACATGTCTAATTGGTATCCCAGTAAGTAATTTTACCGGTTTTGCAAAGTGGGTAGGAACTAGAGGAAAGCCATACATGGAAGCAAATAGATCAAGCGCAGAGAATCATTGGTGTGACATCACCAGAGGTGGTATAAAACTGGACGTATGCTAAAGGTTGGGAATTAGGCCTAACAGTGAAGTCTTCCAAGCAGCTATGATAACACAATCACTGAATTGAAAGCGGACTAGAACCCCAAGAACTAGACCTGTTAGGATCAGTTGCTGGGAATTATTTTTGTGCTTGTTTTTTAATTCCTTTCTAGACCCAAAACCAACTAATGTACTAGTCCCGTGTCCCAAAATAATAGAGTCATCCTTAATCCCAGTTCTCCATGGTATCAGAACATGACCAAATATTGCCACAATTGGTCTTATCCTGGAAGTGGTAGTGTAAATGCGACTGTAAGAAAGCTTCCACCACGTGTCTTTTTAATCTCTGGGGATAGGGCAGGGCCTGCAATTCCAAGTAATCCCTTTGGTGGACCTTGTTACTTAGGAAAATTAGCCATCTTTGGTCCTAGCATGCGAGAAATCTGAATCAGACTATTTGGAGAGCAGGACATAGCAAAAGAACTAAAAGAGCAAAAACAAGCTTAGGATCTAATTGTTACGATCGTGTAGAGTTTTGGAGCACTCCAGCACAAATCATGGCATCATTCCTTACTCAGGTGTTGTGGCTGCTCAGGCTTAGACTACAGTGAATAATCGGGGATGCTGGACAGCTAAACAACTGAACACAACCTATTCTAAATCAAATGCTCACTGATGTAGATAGTATTAGTCATGGCACGCTGCAAAATAGAGCTGCTGTAGATTTTTTGTTGTTAGCACATGGGCACAGGCATGAGGAGTTTGAAGGAATGTGTTGTATGAATGTCGATGACCATTCTGCATCTAGTCACAGGAAACTCAAACAACTACAAGATAACATGAAGAAATTGACTGAATGACTGGGGGTTGGAAGAATTATTTGAGGGATGGAGGATAACTGGATGGTTGAAAGATATTGTAAAGGGAACTTTGTTAGTATTAGTAGTCATTATTTTATTGTTTTGTGTTATTCCATGCATAATTAAGTTAGTGACCCTTAGTAGACAATACAGTAAAAGGGTCTGGCTGGTGCAAGAAGAAGAAGGGGGAATTGTAGCAATGTATCTGAACAACTTAGGCCTCAGTGTGCACCAGCTGCACCACTTATAACTGTTCTTATCAGAATTTTCTCAGGGCACTGTGGAATTCATCAAGGTTACTAAGACATAAACTGTGCTAAAATAAGAATGAAGAAGCTGAGAATTCAAATATCTGGATCACAAGAGCAAGATAACAGAGGACTGTGAAACACCAGGGCTGTAACCAATCACAGATGCTGAGAAATGGAGGCAGAAAATGAGTAAGCAAGACAAAGGCACCCATCAAGCAGTGTGTACTTAGTAGTTTGTAGAATCTATAAAAATGTATGTAGTATAAACAATAAAAGGCTTCTGCTTGATAAAATTGGTCAATTGTTCAGGGGTCCTGTATTTCCTGCAATATTTATTGGGGTCCCATGTTTGGTGGATGGGAAGTGCTCCCTTTCTCCAAAACAGCCTTTGGTCAATCAGAGAGCACCAAGGTGATGACTTCCAAGTGTTCAGGCAGACACACTGTACACAGAGTTTTCAAAGATACTTAACCAATCAGAACTTAGTTTAATTCTGACTCATCAGATGCCAAGGAGACACGCAAAGCCCAGAGCCACCCCAAAATTTCCAGCCAATCATAACTTTTCTCGCCGATGATTCCCCAGGTGCCAGGCAGATCCGCAGCACCCAGTGCTCACCACCCAGACTTCATCTGCTTCCCCACCTCGCCCCTACTGCGCCCCGAGAGCGGAATTTGGGGAGGGGGGAGGTGGGGGGCGCCCAGACCGCCCCCCCTGAACAGCTGAGTGTGGGTGGGAGCCCCACGGGGCCGGTCCTGCCCGGGCACGGCCGATGCCGCCCGCCCACGCTCCGCACTAATCCGGACCGGTGCTCCTGGTGTCGCGCGGGGCGGGCTCGCTGTGGGGACCACTCTGGGCACAGAGCGGCTGCTTTGGGACTGTTGGCACCGCCTGGTGCTGGGGATGGGGCGTGTGGGGGCAGCTGGGGCTGTACTGGTGGCACTGGTGGTGCTGGGAGCCCCGCGTGTAATGAACAAAATTCCCAATTCCCCCGGGGTTGCTGGGCGGACAGGGCCTTCCTGGTTCCCACGGCAACACTGGGGCAGTGGCTACTTCTAGTTCAGTACTGATACTGAAATGTTAATTAGCTAAATGCTCTGTTTGTTTTCTCTAAACCACCTGGGGATTACCTCCCCCCCCACCATTTTAGGACTAAGATGCAAATAGAGGAACCTATGGAATCATGGGAGCGGGTTTTGGGGATAAAGACACCTCTAAATGGAAAACTAAACACAGTAGAGGGGGCTGGACAAGTGCGCTGGCTGAGGAAAAGGGAAACACATCTCTGATCGATGTTTGACCTGTCACCATCAAGACTAGACTAGAGAGGGCTGTAGGAAGCAGGAACAAAGAGGCCAGATCTTCCTGGTGTTACCACAAGGGAAAGAGAGGGGACAGTTGCTGCTGGGCTTCAGCAACAGACTGTGCACACCTCTTCACCCTTCGGCTACCTGGAAAAAGCTACAACAGTGGGGGCAAGCTCCCTGTCGAGCCCCCTGCCCAGCTGATCTTTTTAATAAAGAGTTGAACATTAATAAAGGCATAAGCCCTATTCGTTTTACCACAGAGGGGAAAGGAGAGGGGGAACTGGGAGAGGAGGGGAGGGCAGGATTTGGGACCTCAAATTTAGTGAAAGGGGGTATGGGACACTGAAAGTGAACAGGAGGGGGCTGGGACCCCAAAAAAAAACCAATCACAGGTAAGGGGGATTGAGGACTGAGGGGATGATGGGAAAGGGAAGAAGAGGTGCCAAAAGACAGGGCTGGGATCCCTTGATACTGAAATTGGCCGGAATAAACTTTCTAACACAATTTGAAGCATCAGAAAGCAGGCAATCTTTATCTGTGCAGGGCACAGAGGAAGATATTTCTTTATTCACTGTGTGTCTTGAGACTTTACAACAAGGCATTCATAGCATCACAATTATACATATGCATTAAAACATGTTTCTTATCTTAATACATAAAAATCACTTTCCTAGAACTATTTTGCATCCTCCTCCCAGAAGGCCTTGTATGATCCTGAAGGGTCAGCTAAAGGGGTCTTTGGTGGTCATATTCACTCAATGCTTCAATATAAAAGGTGACATTGCCTTGAACTTTTTCTGTGAGCATGTGCTGTTGCTTCTTTGTTACTGACTTGCAAAAAAAACATGACTTGCAAAAAAAACCCGCCCTGTAGTCCTTTCTATCTGTTTTCCCATTGGTTCCACTTATGTTTATCATCCTGTGTAAATACTTTAACGTTCTTTTATCTTATTTGCTAGTTAGTCTTTAAACTCTATTCTGCAACTTTAGGGCAACTGAGAATTTCTGTTCTCTGTGTTATTTATCAGTACCACCCCACAGCACAGCCCTGTTGCTTTGGGGTGTCAGCACCTAGTTGGCTTTGGGGATGAGGTGTGTCAGGGGAGCTGGGTGCTGTATTGGTGGCACTGGTGGTGCTGGGAGCCTGCCCATCCATGGAGTGAGCAAGGGGCATGGGAGGGGGAAAGAAAGGTAAAGAGAGCTTGAGACTCCCAGCTGAGCAGAAGGGGAGGTGAGATGCCCAGACTGAACAGGATGGGGCTGGGACTCCCAAAACCAAGCACAGGGGAGGTGGGTTGAGAACTCGGGGGACGATGGGAAAGGGAGAAAAGAGGGGGTTGGGATCCCTGAATAGAGAGGGAGGGGGATGGGACACACAAATTGAGTTTGGAGAGGTCAGTGGATTGGGGGGAGCGATGGAAAAGGAGGTGAAGAGGGAGGGAAAAGGTGAAGCTGGAAAGGAAGAAGGGCAGTTCCATGGGTGTCCACCCTTATCACTTAGGACTTAAGCCTTGGAGTGAATCCCTGGGCTCAGGGTGGGGGATGAGGATGCAGATGCACACTGAGGGGATTTCCCCCCCCCCTCCCCTCCGTTTATTCCCGGTGGGGTTTCCCCCAACCCATCAGCCAGTGCTATGGCGCCGTGGGGCAGAAGGAATGGGAAAAAAATTGGGAGGAAGAGGCGAGAGAGATAAGGAGGAGGAGCAGGAAGAGGAGGAGCATGAAAAGGAGCAGAAGGAGAAGCGGAGAGGGATACAGCCGTCCCCGTAGCCCCAAGAGCATTGCACCCCCTACATCCCTCAGGTGACTGGGGAGGGGGGAGTTTGACTCAAATATATTAGGGGGTATCTGGCAGGGATTTTTTTGGAGGGGTGTTTGGAGTTTGCAGATTCTGGAAATGCAAAGTATCTTTGCATTTCCCTGGCAGGTTTTCTTGGGGGATGGGGGTGTGTTTGAAACTTGCAGAACTCCAGACATGAGCCTCGAATGCCCCTTGTGGGGGGACATTTTGGGGGGGGGGGGGGTGTCCATGTTGCGATTGCCCAGTGCTGGCGGGGCAGGACATCAGTTCTGGGAATCCCCGGGAGAACCAGGGGAGTGTAACATGGGACCCCCGGAGTGGGGAAGGTAGAGGGGGTGATAGCAGAGTTGGAGGACCCCCGGGAGCCTGGAGGGGTGGGGGAAAACAGAGATGAGGGAAGGTCAGGATGCCCGACCCTGAAAGGGGTAGCAGGGAGAGGGAGGAGCCCCAAGTGCCTGGGGTGAGGGGACCTCAAGAGGGCGACCCTGGGACAACCTGTGAGCTGAAGCAGAATCAAGGGAAAAGGAAACCCGGAACCCCCCAGAATCCCTAAGCTGGATTCCAAAGAGGGGAGATCATCAGGGTTTGTGGGGACCCCAGAATTCCAATGGAGGGAGACCATCTAGGGGGAACTCCTGGGAAGGGTTTTTTGGATTGATCCAGGGGGATGTGGGCAGCATGGAGTGACCATTATCCCCATTCAGTTCTCTTGCACCACTGGGAGTGAACTGGGGATAAAATGAAGCCTGGGAAGGAGAGAGGGGTGAGGGAAATGAATTTTACTAGGATGTGGTTGAATTCTTATTCTTTTGTGGTTTGACTGGATATAAATTCAAATAATTTCCCCCCACGCCAGCTCTGTCATGCCCATGGCAGTGCCAGGGGAGAGCCCTCTCTCTGCCCTGGTCCAAGCAAGAACCTTTCTTTGGGTGTTCTCTGCCCTGTCTGGAGCAGAAAGGCACTGTCCAGAGTAGCCTTGGTTGCATCAGGCACTCAGCCAGACTCAAACCATTACATGGGAATGTTAAACATAAAGCTTAAGCAAACAAGAGTTTCTGGAGAGTATTTTCCACCCCTTTGCCTTTCCTGGGAGCCATAGGGCAACATGCTAGGCACAACAGCCCAAACTGCTGGAGCACAGCCAAGTGCTCAGACTGTGACTGTGAACTCTTTGCCCTCATTCCCAGTGTGTGATGATACTTAATCAGCCTCAGGGATCTGTTTCCACTCTCTATGAGCTCATACTTACACAGCCCCAGGGATTTGGTTCAGTCTCCATTAGCTTGGCTGTGAGGGTAAGTTCTGGAAAAGCAGCTTATTTATGTAAAACTCAGGGCTGGTTGAGTTGGCACTGGGTGGAAAGATGCCACGGATGGGATGGAGCTGAACACCCAGATCGTACCCTCGTCTTTGAGGGGATAGAAATAACCAACTGATGAAATAAATGTAGCAAACTAAAGAGAGAGGGGAATAAAACCCCAAACTCATTACTTTACAACTGGTTTTATTGAAGCTTTTGCCACCATGGGGTTGGTTTGAGTGTCTGGATGTGTTTTTAAGGTGAGTTCTAGTTTTTGCTGCCTTGTAAGTGGTTTTCAGTGATTTTATTGGGTTTTTTCTTCTAGCCCGTTCTAGCTCTTGCAGCAGTGCCATTGCGATGTGTTAGTATTTGGGGGCCCTCACACCCCTTGATGCAACTTCATGTGAGCAAAGCCACCCTGAGAAGACACAGGTGTGTCCCTGCACTGCTGCAGGGGAGAGATCCCTGGCCCCAGCTCCACTTCTGCCCTCCCCAGCTCTGCTCCCTCTTGCCCCTTTGCAGGTATGGGGGAGGAGAGGAAAAACCTGCATCATTCTTCTGCTTCCAAGCCCAGAGAGAGTTTATTTTAACTCTTGTTCTGGAAGGGAGTTGGAGCCTTTCTGTGGAGCAGAGGCTGTGCCCAGGAGTGGGAAATGTCTCTGTACGGGAAGGCTGCTAGGTTCCATTACCCCTAGATCATCCATGGCACTTGTGGCCTGTGGGTGAAGGGGCCAGAGGTGTCCCTGGGAGAGGGTTTGTGAGCTGATGCCTCCCCACTCTGCAGAATTTCCTGAAGCAGCTGCTTTGATCCAAAACAGGTGTGTGAGTGGGTGGGACTCAAGAAATCTGAGAGAGAAGAAATGAGGGGAAAAGATTGGAGGGAGAGAAATTTCTGTGCCTCCATCTCCTTTTCCCACCTCTTCCTCCCCCACCAGTTTTTCACCCCAAAATGCCCCAAGCTGCAGCCTGGAGCAGGAGGAATTGGGTGGGGGGTTGGAGACAGTAACAAAACACCACATCAATTAAACCAAAATTCAAGCATCTGGAGGGGAAAAAAACATCCTCTTGGATGTCTTACCTTTGTAGACACAGGCAGGTGGTTCTCATATGGAAAATATTTACCTGGGAGAAGTACCAGGTGCAGGGGCTGGTAATAATTTAATTTACAATGATGACAAAAACATCTGCTGGGCATTGATGTGAGTGATTTACATAGTTGTAATAACTATAGAAACTCTTTTCAGTTGCCAGTCACTTGACAGCAGCATCCACAGGTATTTCCAGTCTGTGTCAGTCAACCATTGTTCTGTTTCCCTGATTTTTTTTTTTCCTTATAAATATTCAGCAGATTGTTCCTGTGGGACAAGCTTTGCTTTGCTGAGGAGAGCTGTGACTACCCAGGAGGATGGGAGGATTATCAGCTTTTTGTGTTTTTGTTTTAGGATCACAGGAGCATCCTAGTAAAGCCCTAGGAGGGAGCAGGACCTGGTTGGGCCCTGTGAGCTTGGAGTGTTGTCCAAGATCACTTCGTGGCAGGAGGAGGTGAGGGACACTCTTGTCCCTGGAGGGTGTCCCTGTCCCCTCTGTGGCGCCGGGAATGGCAGAAGTCCCTTGTGAAGAAGGTACAGAGGCACCATCCCCTGCTCCAGAAGCTTCACAAGCTGCCCTGCGCAGGGTGGGGTGCCCTGGGTGGCCTGGGTGGCCTGGAGTGGGGGCTGGGGCTGAAAATCCCTCTGGACTTGTGTAGGTCCTCGAGAAACACCATTTCAGGACACCCACAGCCAGCAGGAGTTGGCTGAGGTTGAAGCAGAGTTGAAAAAACCAAGCAAGTCCTGGTTTTTTGGAAGCTGAAATTATGTTTTCCTTCCTGCTGCAAACATAAACCTGGCAAAGGAACAACAGTGCCTGACTGTCCTAGGAGGAAAATATCTCAAATCAGGACTTTACCACTCCCCAGTTCTGAGTGTGAGCTGGAATTCACTTTGTTTGCACAGGTGGAGACTCAGCTGCTGTGATGGAGCTGCTGCAGCAGAGAGCAGAGGGAAGGACCAGTAAGCCCCAGTTTGGTTATGGGGATGTTGTTTCAAGATATGGCTCAGTGTGTTGGGGGAAGCTAAAATGGTCAAAGGCGTTGTGGGAGGGGGAGTAAGAACTGTCAGTGTTTGCAAGCTGAGGGTCTGGGGGATGGTGCTCATTTTGTGGTGGAAGGGGGCATAGAGGTGATGCAGGGAGGTTGGGCAGACTCAAAAGTCCTTGGAAGCCAATGACAGCACTGGGATGCCCCCTAGACTGAGCTTGTGCCCGACTGGGAGCCTCCAATGTGTTTTGGGGCTGTGTTGGAAGATGTTGAAGTTACCCATAAGGGAAATGTGAGAGCTGGGAGAACAGAGGGTGCTCTTCATGCCCTTCCCACGTGTTTTGTCCCAAGATTTCAGCCTCAGATGCACCAATGACAGAAAGGTGACCATTGCGGTCACTGTGCTCGCTGTGGTGCTGCTTCTTACTGTCGCCATCCTCACACTGGCAGGTAAGTGGCTGAGGGTGCAGGAACCACCCAAAAGTCTCCTTCCTGGAGAAGCCCCCCCAGCATGAGTCACTTGCGCATGTTTGCTTGTTTTCAGCTAAGAAACACCCACCCTGCTCAGCTCCCACCCTGCCCAGCTGCCTGGAGAGTGGGATCGGCTTTGGGAACAAGTGCTTTTACTTTCTGGAGGAGGAAGTGGACTGGGAAGGGAGTCAGCACTCCTGCCTCTCCCGCCAAGCCCACCTGGCCACCATTGACACCAGGGAGGAGCTGGTAAGAGAAACAAACCCCTGAGGAGGTGGTGTGGAACAGCCTTTGAAGAGCAGATTAGGAAATTGCCTGAAGAGAATAGCATGGAGGTACCTGTGATCCTTGCTTTCCCCATTTCCAGCGTTTCCTCCTGCGCTATGGGAACTTCATGGAGTTCTGGGTTGGTCTCTGGAGGGAAGGTTCTGGACCTTGGAAATGGCTCAATGGCTCCCTCTTCAATGCCCTGTACGTCCCATCTTCTGAAGAACAAAACTATGACCTGGGCTGAGATGGGGCAGGGTAATGGATGCTGGAAGCAGAAGTACATATAGATCTGTTGAGGTGGGAGCAATCAAACACTACTTTCCCTAGTTGTGCCAAAGCATTCAGATACAACCCATGGATTTGTGGGATGCAGATGCTGATGAGGGCCTGGGGACATCCGTGGATGAATCCCCTGGGACCAAGAACATGAAAACCATTGAGGGAGGAGTGGAAGGTAGTTTGGGTTCTTCATGGGGACTTTGCTGGAAAGGTTGGTCTCTGCTCCTGCAGCACTCTTAATCTCTCTGGAAATGGGAATCCCTCCCATCCCAGCTGTGTCCCATGAGCTCTAACTTTATTGTTGATACAGGTTTGACATCCAGGGCAATGGCCACTGCGCCTACACGAACTCCCACAGGATCAGCAGTGACAGGTGCTCTGAGATGAAATTCTCCATCTGCAGCCACCTGCAGAGACACCCCAGTGAAGTCCAGAAGGATACAGAAATCCTGAATTCCACCTGAAACCTCCCTCTTAACAGAGATCCACCACCAGCTGGTGTTAACCCCACACAATGTGGTACTGAGTCTCTGTTGTTTGTATTTGTTTAAACTTTAGCTGGCAAACAACTTGCAGGTCGGGATGAGTCTGTTTGCTGAAACTCTGTCTGTTGAGATAAGTCCATTTGCTAAAGTGAAAACCAATGATTGTGCAAAAAAAAAAAAAAAAAAAATCAATCAAAACCTGCACTCTGGAGCAGGTCGTAAAGAGGCAAACTGGGAGGAGTTTAAGGGGAGAAGTCTGTGGAGGACTGACCCCATGGAAGGGACCCCACCCTGGAGCAGGACAAGGACTCCTCTCTCTGTTGGGGAAACAGCAGTATGAAGTGACCATAACCCCCTCTTCCATTCTCCTTGCACCAGTGATGAGGAGGAAGGGGAGGGAGTTGGGGATAAAGTAAAGCCTGGGAAAGAGGGAGGGGTGGAGGAAAGGAGCTTTATTAGGATTATTTTTGCTTGTCATTTTCTGGGACCACAAGGGCAACAGCCTGTACTCAACAGCCCAAACTGCTGTTGAGCAGTGGCCCTTGGCCATGCCATGTTCTCTGTCTGTTCCATGTTCCCTGCCTCTCCTGTGTCCCTAAGGCTCTGTGGGGCTGAGGCAGCAATGAAATCCAGGGCAGCCCTGGGGTGGAACAACCCTGAGCCCAGCTGAGCCAGTTCACCTAATTCTACCCAGAGAGGGCTCAGGTAACTCTCAGAATGGGCCTTATGGTTCCCAGTCACAACTATTATGGTCCTAGTAATTCCCACTATGATCCCAGTCACTCCCAGTATCATCCACTGTGATCCCAGCATGGTTCCAGGTTCTCATTCACCCCTAATATGGTTCTGGTCACCTCCAGTATGATTATTCCCACTATGACTCCAGTCCCTCCCAGTATAATTCCAGTATGAGCACGGTCACTCTCAGTATGATGCCATTTGTTCCCAGCTCCCAATAACCCAGTATGCTTCCAGTCACTCCCAGATACTCCCAGCATTATTCCAGTAACTCCCTTTAAGGTTGCTTTATAACCTCAATTATTCCCAGTCTCTCCCAGTATATCCCACTTACCCCCAGTGTTTCCACTCACTTCCAGTTGGTCTCAGCAGATTGCAGCATGATTCTAGTTGCTCTTAGCCACTCCCAGTCACCTCTAGCATGACTGTGTCGAGTGTAAAAATATTGCAGTTTGAAACTTAGACCTGAAGTATTTCCAACAAGCTGTGGGACAGTAGCTTTTCCTAAAGGATGTGCAGCATCACAGAGACATCATCAGTGTGACTGTGGGTGCTTGGAGCTTTGTTCTGTGCCACTCTGGGATGTCATGAAACAGGACTTCACCTGTCACCAGCCCTGTCGCCCTCTGCCACCACAGCTCCTTGGACCTTGTGTCCACAAAACCAGACACAAAGAATTTCTGCTGCTCCCTTCTTTGCACAAATCCATGCAGAGCTGGGATTTTCCCAAACTCTTCTGTCTCCATTGCTCCTTATTCCTAAAGAACCAGCACTCCCTCCTGATGAACACTGCAAGTTCCAGGAATGGCCATCGGCTCCCTTTCCTGCCCAGAATTCTTGAAACTGTTTCTAAATGCTGCTCCCTTCAGCTCTTGGACAGCTACTCTGTACACAGAGCTGGGAAAAAAACCCACAGGTCACCTCTCATGAGGGAAGTGCTGCCAGAGTTAGAGGTGTGTGGGAAATCTCTGTCCCTCCATAGATTTTTCTTAGAGCTCTACATGGGGTGTGCAGAGATGGTTTTTGTATAGAAAGGATGGAGAGTGCTTCGTGTAACACTTTCCATCTTCATGTTTGTTCCCTATCCATGGACACAGAAACATCTAAGAGCCCTTTGCACAGACAGACCCATTTGGTCCTGGATAAAGAAGTGCAGTGGGGATGGGTGGGCAGCGAGTCCCAGAAAGGGGTGAGATCTGGCTCCAGCCCTGCCAGGTCCTGTCAAGGCTCAACGCCAGCTCCTCTGGAATGGGAAAGCCCTTCAGCCTTGTTCCTGCATAGAGGGGCAATGCTGGCCTAGCAGAACAGGTTGTTCTCCCCACAAGGTTCAGGAGACGAGAACACAACACTTGCAAATGCTGGCTGGAGCCACAGCCCAGGAACCTCATCTCTGGCAGTTGCTCTGGGACCATCCTCTACCCCAGGCTGCAGGGGATGCAGCAGGATCCTGGCTATCCTGCAGGGAGAACTGCACACAGGCAGGATTTAGTTCCCACAAACAGCCAAGCCAGGGGTGCAGCACAGCTGCTTCAGCCCAGCTCACACTGCTGTGCACTGGGCTCTGGGGCTGGAGCTCCCCACAGAAGGGATGGCACTGCTGGGCCACAGGAGACAAACCAGCTACAGCCTAAATCTCACTGAGGTAGGGGGATGGGAAGAGTCAGGAAGGTAAAGAGCAGTCACAGAGCTCATCCTGCTGGAGGGACAAGGGAAAAAGAGGTGCAACACAACAGTGAGGACAGCCGAGGGCTGCAGAGCAGCTCTGAATGACACCATAACCTCTCACAGCACCCCTGTGACATTGCTGTTGTGCAGTCTGGGACAAGCAGAGTGGAAAAGTCCAAGCCCTTCCTCACCTACAAAACAAAGGAGCCAGTGTATGGCTTTTGGAGTCCCACTTCTGCTCCCCCATGGGGCTTTGCTTTGGTCGGGCTGTCTGCCCCCAGCCCCAAGCACAGCAGGTGCTGTTGGCAGGACCAGGAGCTGACTCCCATTTCATTACATCCCACTGAGCCCTGCCAAAAAGCAGCTTGGCAGCCAACTGAAGAATTTGTTGCATCTGCCCCAGCAAAAGGGGGAACTTCTGGTGCCCAGCCAGGCCATGCCATGACGATCTGGGAGCATCCCCCTGGCTGTGGACTCACCTGCAAATTGGGTGTGGATATGTCTTTGAAGAAGGTGCTGGAACTGAAGTCAGTCTTCAGCTTGCCAGCAGTCAGGTCAAGGAAAAGATTGTCATCCTTGAGGTCGTCCTTGGTGTTTCCAGTAGCAGCATCACCTGGTACAGCTTCTCCAGGGGCTCCTTGTCCTTCCCTGGGGGCCAGACCAGGCTTTCACTGTTCTGCACAGGGTCCTAGATGTCAGTCAGACAAGCAGAAAATTAGTTGGATGGAGCCCAGTAGTGCTTGGCAGACCAGGTCTCCAGCTCAGCTCCAGCACAAGAGCTGTGTTTTCCCTTCTAATGGTCCCTGATCAGAGCTACAGGCAGGAGAAAAACAATCTGGTTTGCTTTGCCACTGGTTGCTAAGAGATGCATGGAGCTGTTACCTGCCAGGCCCTTGGATCCAACTGTGCATGTGTGTGAAAAACACGTTCACTCTCCTGTGAAAATTTAAAAAGTTTAATAAAGGACAATAGGAGAAAAGGACCATAGAGCAAAGGTTATTATGGACGGGTGCATCTTGGCACTCAGCCAAGACCACCCTGTTACCTTCAGGGAGCCCCCTTAAATACCTTCTCCCTTACATCAGCCTATTGCATATTCATAGACTCTTCTGCATAGAAAACTTTTCCCCAATCTAGTTTACATGTCCCAAGAACTGTTTACCATGGCTCCTCCTTGGTTCCACCTTTTTAGAGTATGCATATTCCTTGGTTGTGGTCTTTGTCCTTTTTTATCATCTTCAGTTTTGGCCCCAGCCCACATTATCTTCAGACAGTGAGTGTTAGTAGTTGGCAGATCTGTAGCAAGTATCTTCATCATCCAGTTCATTGGATTTTATCCCATCCAAGTAGGCATTTTAACACAAGCATACTTATATTAGCTATTTCACTACTATATCTAAGCTTAATTAACAACAGAAATAAAAATTATATATTTATAGCAAAGTTACTTTAACACTACAGTTATAAAATCCATTTTAATATTTGCAAAAAGCCAGTATTATAATATGTATCTATAACATTCCCTCCTTTTATTCTCTATAAATAATTTGGCTTGAGCAATATTTCTTGTCCACTTCCATTCTTTGGACTATGCTGGTAATTACTCGAATTACTCGAAAACAGGAGATTAAACAAGGAAGAAATATTAAACCAGTTGTAACACATAAATGGAAGAAGCCTAATTTCTTCCACCAATCTATTCCCAAATACTTTACCCCACCAGCTAGTTTTTAACACTTTCCCAATTTTCGACCAGTACCTGGGTTATTTTTCTGATATATTTTGCTTTTTTCAGGATGACATCCCTATTGTCATCTATTTTCAACAATCTGATTTATTATAAGCTTTCCACAAACACCCCCTTCTTTAGCCAATAAATAGTCTAAAGCCAAAACTTTTCTGATACACCACAGTTTTTGTTTGGCTTTGGTGACTTTATATTAATTCCAATGCCCAAGCAACTTTGTTTGTTAGCATCTCTGTAACTGTTTGGAGTCTTATAATACAATTCAGCATATAATTTAGGGCCGATACAGTATGCTGGTTTTACCTTTCTGTTTATTAATTGTTCTTTTACCAAACCTTGGACTGTATCTCTAAGGTCAAATGTGAAATAAATCCATCTCTCTCCTTTCAGACATTCAATTCCCAGTCTATTACCACTTTTTCCTAAGTTTCTTACAAGTCAATATTTTTCCCCATTTTACAGGTACTTAATTTGGATGGGTTATAACAGTGACTGTTGACATGGGTGTGTGTAATAAAAAAGGAACTTTGGTTTCTTTCCATGTAATGCTTTCAGCAGCATTTGTGACACGAGCTTGCCTGTATCCCAAAAGGGAAAAGACAATGAATGAGTGATAGAAAAAGGAATAACAGAGGTCTGGTATGTCTTATACCCCTACCTTCCCTGCCTATGAGGTTGCTACCCATAGCAGGTGTATATGATCTTCTCAATGGCAAGTACAGCGGCCAACCTAGGCTTGCCCTCTATATCCTTGTAATGTCCTTTTTGCTAATTACCAGGCAAATAGTTTTTGACACTCCTTAACTGTGGTTTCCCACCATTCCTCAGGTATCTCCCATTCAACAGGCACTAGTAATTCCCACCCACAAAGCAAAGTTTTGTCAGTTGCTTTGAGTTCTGTCTGGATGGGGGATAGATTTGGTACTCAACACTTCCTGCAATGAAAGGGTCAATTTTGTGAACTACAGTACCAATTTTTCCCACAATTTAAACATTTACATACAACCCAGCTAGTGTGTCCAGTATTAGGATGAATCAGACAGGGTATATGGTATGGCACTGATGGAAATTGTAATTCCTCCTCTTCTTTATATGTCACAGAAAATGAGAACCAAAACAATCCTGATCCTCCTGTTAGAAGTGGAAGTATTCCTCCCCAAGGAAGGTATCAGAGGCATCTCGGGACTTGTCCAGGCAGCACTTGAAACCACTGATGTAAGCTTGACCTTATTTCCCAATTAGCTGTGATTCTTTGTACGTGTCTTGGATCATTTGGCTCTTCCCAAACCATTACCACCCAATCCCTGTTTGAAAGTCAATTTGGTATCACATGGTTTAGATGTGATAGTGAAACATAATTTTAAAAATTTAAGATTTTAGCTGAGGGTTAGAACCAATTTATATTGAAGTTAGATACACCAATGATAAGTTAATGATTAGTAGATGTTTAAACTAAAGCTAATTGTTATATTCTGAGCTCACTTATAGAAGGAAGTGGAGCAAGTGAACCATTATAGGAACATATTGAAACGAGTAGAATGATGCCAACCACCTGGACTCTATGTCAATCCATCACGAAGCAGGGGGCCTTGGATCATGCCAGAGGGTCACAGAGACCTGATGAAGACCTTCCTGAATTCATCCATGGGACCACTGATCCAGTTCGAGACCACTGACCCAATTCAAGAGAACTGCACACACAAGAATGACTAATAACCTCATTTTAATACAAAGTGGGGATGGGAGGTGCTAGAGTTATGCATATATATTATTTTGGCAAATAAATAGAAGGCAAAAATCCTTGTGCCTTGGTCACGTGTTTTGGTAATGAACCTTCACCCCGTGCCGCCTGCCAGTGTGTTATAAATGAAAATTTGTCCAGCCAAATTAATATGAAAAATAAAATATTTATTTTGCAATCAAATTCTATCTAGCCAGCCACAAGGAAAGAACAGAGCCGAGCCCGGGGTCAGCCCTGGGTGTGCAACAAGGAGTCAGCCTCAGCGGAGGTTTTCCTCCATGCCCACACACCTCCATTCTGGTACAATCGAGTTTTATAGGGAAAATTCTGCCTGAGGCCAAGATTTCAGCAATCAGTCCTTTCCTTCTATTTAGAGTCCATATGTTAATAAGATTTTCTTTTTTGGAGATGAGGGAGAATAATTCAGTGTCGGAGTTGTTGAATCCCTTGATGAAATTTACGGGAACGCTGCATTCACATGTATCTGTCCGGGGATCTCCAAGATATCAATCTCGGGTCGTTCACGCGATGATCAGCACCTGGGGTCTCCCGTAGCTTTCCAGACATGGCCCATCTCCTGGCGAGCCCTATCTTCTTACTTGTAAATCAGTTTCCAACATACATCCAGTCTCGGAGGGGAGAAGGTGGGGGGGGGGGAAGTTGCAGCATCTTTGAGAGAAAGAGGACATGAGTTATGAGATTTGAGCTACTCCAGTCTAGGCCTCAGATTTGGGCCTTGTGGGCCTTCAAGCCTCTGACGCAGTTAGAAATTCAGAGCTTGTGGCGCAGATAGAAATAGTCTTAAGGTGTGATGGGGACCACTGGGTTGTCTGGGTGTGAATTAGTATAGGTTTTATAGTGTAAGGTGTAGGCCGTTTTAAGGAAAAGGTAAACAATGTTAGCCTACCAATCAGAGTGTCTTTGTTTTTGTGAACTATGTAGAAGCTTATATAAACTACCACCTTATCTTGAATAAACGGAGAACGCTTGATTAACCACATTGGTTCAGACCTGCATTTGTCTTGTCCAGCTTTCCGTTTTTCTGAGATTCCGTGGCTTCTAGTGGCGCCCGACCAGGGACTCAGGAGGCTCCGAAAAGGCTCCCAAATTACTTTTAGAGTAACGGGGAGCCGAGTTTGAGTCGCTCGACGAAAATTCAGGTCCAAATCACCTCATGGCGACGGGGCCGGGATCCCAAGTTCACTTTTTGTGAACGGGGATCAGGTGGAACGGAGCAGAAGTCTCCAAACTCCGAATTGGGCCGTTTCCCAACGGGAGGAAAAAGACTCTTTGCATTGTTGTTTGTTTGCGAGAGTCCGTTGGAGCAGTGGGAAGACCTCAGCGTTCACAAAGGACCTGAACGGTGGGTGTGGACGTGGCCGGGGCCGGGAAGCTGGAGCGGGGTGCTGCCTTGCCGAAGAAAAGCGAGAGCGAAGCAACCTGCAGAGGTTGGAGGTAAGCCGCGGAGAGAGAGAGAGGGTGAAAAGTTCACCATGGATGGGGATTTGCAAGCTTCAGTGCGGCTGCTCTTTCATATTCTCTCAAAGAGAGCTGAAAAAGTTAAAGAAGCCAATTTAGAACAGTTGGTCCTGTGGGCAAGAAGCAGAGGCAAGCTGCAAAAGCCTTCGCCGATTTTTAGTGAAATCGAATGGCAAGAGCTGGGGCAGCTGCTTTGGGACGCAGTGATAGAGGGCGGAAAAGACAAGAAAACACTATTGGAGCATGGAGACATTTGGAGAAAAGTTTTACATACCCTGCAAAGCATGCTTGCGGAGAAAAAAGCAGCGGAAGCCGCGGTTCAGGCATTTGAGCAACCCACATCAGAACAGACAGAAGTTCAGAAGCCATCTCGGGTTGAAAAATTCTTTAATGTTTGTAATATGCGGCCAGTGCGAGGGCAGAAAGCTCCAGTCAGTCTCTCTGTCAGGGATTTTGTAGCTCGTTTGGAGGGAAGCGCAGAGCCAGGAGTGGGGCTGGCTGACACGGGACAGACCGGATGCATGGCCAGGGCGGAAGCGTGCTCGCAAGCAGCAGATGTTAACAGCTCGGCGGTTCCGCAGAGTGAGGCAAACCCGGAAGGGGCCCCGTTGGGTCCCTCGGGAGGCGGGGAGACACCTGAGGAGGCAGGCGGAGTTGGTGACGAAACAGGGCTGAGTCAGGAGGAGGAACTCAGGGGCGGAGATCAAGGCGAAGACCAGGGCGGAGAAGGGAGCGAGGCGGCGCTGGCCCCTCGCTCCCCCGCAGCGGCCACGGCAGCTGCCGCGGGTGCGTGCATGTGCAGAGGCGCGGCTCGGCGGTACCCACCTGCGGCGGTGCGGCGGCGGCGAACAACCCAGCGCGGCTTGGGGAGGCTGGGCACCCCAATGCTAGCGGAATGGCAGAAGCAGCCACCCAAACAACACCAGAGCAGAGCCCTGAAAATGCCAGTTCCCACTCCACCACGGTAGCGCTGCGCTGCCCACTCCCACCAAGTTCAGATTCTGACGACTCAGAGCCAGACCTTCCTGTTGTCTATTGTAGCAGGGACAAGCGATCACAGAACAAGATACAAAGACCAAATATGTTACAGAAAAAAATAGCCCACCTTGCCACCCTTTCAAATCGTCAGGCTCAACCAGGGGAACCTCCCACTGGCCAGCAATTGGCATTGCCAGCAGTTTTAAAAAATCCATTGCAGTCACGATGGGCGTCAGTTGTGAAGGATGCTCTTTTAGACAGTGACTGGAAGGCTGTCAGCTCCCTGGCTTGTCCTGTTATAGTGTCTAATGGGAATGCCATCTGGGAGCCCCATGACTGGAAAATCCTACAATCAGCTAAGCAGACAGTCACCACTTATGGGATCAGATCAGAAGCAGCCAGGAACATCATTCAGTATATATTCACAGCAGATGTGCTTTGTCCCGGTGATTCATCTAATATTGCATCCCTGCTCCTGACACCTTCCCAGTTTCTCATGTTTGAAAGGGAATGGAGGCGATTGGCAATTGAAGAGGCCAACAAACACACAAATGTAGGGGACCCCCTTTTATGGAGTCCAGCCAGATATGCTGACTAGGCAGGGACCATATGCAACCAATCAGGTACAACTTACCTTTCCCGTTGAAATGCATCAATTGTCACAGCAATTGGCCCATCAAGCTTTGCTTTTGGTACCAGACAAGAAAAAGTTAGCATCCTATGCGACCATAAAGCAAGAAGCCACTGAACCATTTGGATAATTTATTGATAGGCTGTCAGCTGCTTTGAAGGACGCACCTGACGTGCCACCAGACGTTCAGGAACATTTATTCTGATCCCTTGCTTTTGAAAATCCTAACCCACACACAAGAACCATCGTAGCCACCCTTCCTCAAAGCTGTCCAGTCGATGAGATGTTTGTCAGAGCCACACGCGCAGAACAAAGCAACCAAGCTGCAGCATTCACAGCTGCAATCCAGGATGCAATTCAACAACAAGGACACATCATTGCAGCTGCTTTATCAAGCAACAATACAAGGAGACAGAAGACGTAATGAAAAAGTATAGCAGTACCGATTGTTTTCCAGGATACCAAAAAGGATGAACATTATGCAAATCAATGTTATTTCAAATACAATGTGGATGAAAATCACTGTAAAAAAATAGAAATGTTAATAATGATTTAATTGCCAAAAATGTCTCTGAAAACAAAGATTTGAGAAAAATCAGTCAGATGGAATGTTGGTATTGAGTTCACAATTTCTGTTTTTGAGTTTTTATAGATAATAATATAGGTAATTATGATTTTTGAGCTTTATAGATAATAAGATAAATGATGATTGTCAAGTTTTGTAGGTAATGATAAGTAGTGATTGTTACTAATGTTATATGAATGCTTTGAAAAAATTGTCTTAAACTATTTTAAACATTTCTTGTTGATAGGTTGATCATATAATGTAAGTTGTCTGATTTTTGTGATAAGAATTATTATTAAGATGTTAAGGTATTGAGGTGTTGTTTTAATATTTACAGTCAGTTTTCATATGTTTTATTGTCTTTTTAGGTGATTGATTGCAAGATGTGTTTTTCAGGATCCTGTGTGTTTGATTTTCTAACTACTCATGTGTTTTCTTTATCCAATCTTTTATGCAGCTGCAATTCATTTTCTTTTAAAAATTTATTGTCCAAATTTTGGTTCAAGATTTCAGAGTTCAAATTTTCAGATCTCTAAAGAAAAGGTTTGTTGTATTTAGAGAATTTTTGTCTTGAAAGAAATTTTAGACAGGTTCAATTATTTGATGGTTTGATAAATTTTTAATAATAAGGTTTTTTACTTATAACTGTTATTTCTAAGACTTTTGTTTTAAACATATCCTCCAATTAGAGTTCGAGCTCTGGCCAAGCTCTGGCTCTACGTGGATGGTGTGACTGACCCAGGTGTTTTCTGCATCAAAAAGTATTCAAGTCCTTTTGGCTTGGCAATTTGACCATGTAGGACAGCTGAGCCTCAAAGAGAGTTTTGGAGAGACATGATCCGGACATGTTTTATCCAAATCTCTGTTGTTTTAAGGTTTGTCAGCTGCGGCAGACTCTGGGATGACAACTTGATAGTGTAGCACTTGGTAACTGTGATTTTATATGTAATATTGATTGTGTATTATCTGATTGATTTTTATTTGTTGTTAGTTCCTTTACTATGTGCATTGTTTTGTTTTTGATGTTTTTTCATGTTTTTAACAAAGATGTTGATATTTCCATTTCTTCATGCAAGTTTTAGGGAACAGAATTGAGAGAGGACCCTCCAGTCCCTGTGGGGGTGTTGGGTTTGTTTGTGTTTTAACAGGTGCAGAATCTGGATGGATTTCAGTGAAGAATGTGGAACTTATTAATTGCAAGAGAGCAACTGATCTCTCCACAAGTGGATCAGAAGATGTACAGCAAAAGTGGATTGTGCAAAGATTTGTGTTTCACCCACAGAAGATCGTGGGCTTTAGAGTTTGTTTTTTTTTTTTTTTTTAAATACGTGTCTTTTTAATGATGTTCTAGAATTTTTTGCTAAGTTTTAGTAAGTTTTAGTAATGCCTGTGATTTTTCTGTTCATCTTGCCATTGTCTTTCAATGGCAAAAGAAAAAGAGGGAGGTCCCAACGTGGATCAACAGCAATCCTGCTTGAGTGAGTGTTTTTACCCGTCCAACCAAGACGTCTGGGCAGGACAGATGCTTTTGCTGCATTGATACGAAAAGGCAGAAACAGAATTTTAAAAATAGATGAAAAAGATACCAACCCGTGGTGATAACAACGTCAATGACAACAGTTTGCCTGGAACATCCTGTGATGAATCCAATTCTGATGAAAATTAAGTTTGTAGAGTACAGAGAAATAAGTTGAAATATCAGAGGTGTGAAGTTAGATTTATCAGAAGTTAGTTTATTAGAAGTTATAGTTTATGTTTAGAATTAAGTTTGTTTCTTTCATGTTAAACAGGGCATTCAAAAACCTGAGAAATACGTGGTGGGCCTCAATGTTTTTATTAAGCAGTGTTTTGGTTGTTGAAGTATCTGGAATCCTTGACACTGACAGGAGAGAAAATATGTGGATCACTTGGGTGGGCCAAACAAACTAGGCAAGATTAATTCTGCCTGTTGTTAGCCACACCGTCTAACCCCCTTTTCGTACTTGTTAAATTGGAGTCTCGTTGGGTCCCATGGCAGAGTTCAAAACTTGGACCCGAGCTCAAATAAATCTAAATAGCACTCTGGGAGCACAAGCTGTTGCATTTGTGCAAAACCTTAAATTTACTGATGACAGTCTTCAAGAATTTGATCTTTTGGGTTCTGTCCCAGGAAATTATTGTTTAATATTTGGATCTTATGCTACCAAACCAACTCAAGAAAATGGAAAATTGACAGATGACGACACTTGGTTGTCTCCCAGATCACCATTGTATTACAACTATTCAGAATATTGTAACAATTCGACTCAATCTGTGACACCGCCAAGAGGTGGTGCAGGAAAACTGCCCCCAGGAACCTTCCTCATTTGTGGGGACCGAGCCTGGTCAGCAGTCCCTCAAAATGCTAGGGGAGGCCCATGTTATATCGGTAGGTTGACACTTTTTTTTTCCCACCATACATCAGGTTCTCGAATTGCCTCAGAAGGCTCAACGAGCCAAACGCAGTGTTCTGCAAATGGACCCCAATTGTAAAGATATAGTGTCATTGTGGGGGGTGTGCTTCTGTAGTAGTAGCCTCACTTTTCGCCCCAGGAGTCGCCTCATCAAAAGCGCTCACACAATTGAGAACTTTAGCCTGCTAGACAGGAAAACAAATTAATATCACATCTAAATTGATAAGTGAGCTTGCTGCAGATGTAGACGATACCCGTCATGCGGTTCTACAAAACAGAGCTGCAATTGATTTCCTTCTTTTAGCACAAGGACATGGGTACGAAGAATTTGAAGGCATGTGCTGCATGAATTTGTCTGACCATTCTCAACCGATTTATAAACAGTTAACGCAATTGAAGGACAACATGAAAAAACTTACCGTAGTGGACACTCCATTTGATAACTGGCTCAATTCTTTAGGTTTTTCTGGCTGGGTCAAAGACTTAATTTGTTTTGGTATTGTACTTCTTTTTATCTTTATAGTTATTTTAATTGTTATACTGTGTTTTTTACAGTGTGTGCAAAAATTAGTTCATCGCGCCTTCACTCCAGCCTGAGTAGCTCAAAAAGAAAAAGAGGGAATTGTTGCAGCATCTTTGAGAGAAAGAGGACATGAGTTATGAGATTTGAGCTACTCCAGTCCAGGCCTCAGATTTGGGCCTTGTGGGCCTTCAAGCCTCTGACGCAGTTAGAAATTCAGAGCTTGTGGCGCAGATAGAAATAGTCTTAAGGTGTGATGGGGACCACTGGGTTGTCTGGGTGTGAATTAGTATAGGTTTTATAGTGTAAGGTGTAGGCCGTTTTAAGGAAAAGGTAAACAATGTTAGCCTACCAATCAGAGTGTCTTTGTTTTTGTAAACTATGTAGAAGCTTATATAAACTACCACCTTATCTTGAATAAACGGAGAACGCTTGATAAACCACATTGGTTCAGACCTGCGTTTGTCTTGTCCAGCTTTCCGTTTTTCTGAGATTCCCTGGCTTCTGGGGGAGGCTAGTACAAACGAGGTATAATCTAACAAGTATTTAACATTATATATTCCATACAAGGAATGGCGCAAATTAAGTTTATTACCCATAACACAGTGTAATAAATACACCACTTTCTAACTTTAATTAGTTAGAGGGTCTTTGTCCATGATTTTCAGTTTTAACGATTATATAGTCAATTTCTCAGGTTTCTTTGCAGGTCCTTTGAGTCTGCTGGCATGAATCCACCCTCTTTCCCTCAGATTGCTGCTTCAGAAGTACCTGAAAAGGACTTCTCAATAGTACAGGGACAGTGACAAAAGGACTACAATACTGTGCCAACATTCCCCAAAATATTTTGGGTTTAGAAAGAAGCTTTTTTCCACAGCTGCCTCTTCTTCTTGTATCCAGCTGTGCTAACAGCTTCAGAGGCAAATTCTTCTATGAGCTACAGTTAGTTAAACAAGAAAGGCCAGGCCGATTTTGACACAAGGTGAATCACATCTATTGCTTTTTACCCTCTGGGCAATGTTTAACTCTTTTAGCATCACAGACCTATTCCCCTTATCGCTTGCGCTGGTCCCTCTCCCTCTCTTCGCAGCGTCGCTTTCAACGCTGTCTCTCGCCCCTCCCCCGCTGCCGCCACTGCACTGCAGCAGCCTTAGCAAGGAAGGACCCGGCCCTAGCGGGAGCAGGCAGGATTCGCA